AGCATCACTACCTTCCAGGTCGGTTCCCGTGTACAGCTGTGGACTCATTCCCCATTTCATCCTAAATGAACTGTTCGCCTTAAAGGCAGTTGGCCGATAAATCCCTAAAGACGAGTAAGGATTAATACGCCTGGCAGGATGGAATTCCGCGCCCCTGAGAAGGCGCTGCGCAGCGCCCTTTCCAAGGAAGGTACCCTTATAAGGGCCCTATCAAGCTACAACATACCGACCCGAACGCCCACCACGCCCGCCCACAAATGGACGACCGTTCCTGACGCTCGTATTGATTCATTTGCTAAGCAAATTATGAGAAGGGATTGGTATGAAGCGACTGCGGTGCTGCATGGATATATGAGTACACTATGCAGCCGTACCCTCGGTATTGGCAAGATGCCTATGGGGAACTTTGGAACCTATGGAAAATTGATTTTCGAATCATCAAGAACGGAGGCTTTTTCTTCGCAGGAATGTGACCGTTTCACTCCGTTCTTTCGCCATTTTCCCACTATATAGCGCCCTGCTAGCATTTTGGACCGAGTACCAAATTATCGTTCCAACTGCCTTTAAGTGTTCTCCTTCTGTGCATGAATGTGATTCGCGTAGCAAATGTACTTTTCGAATGGGCTATTTTCATTTGTGAGACTCAGTTCATGGAAGAGGGCGTACGGCGGTTGTGAGCGCATATCCACATGTATATGAAGAGCTGCCGGTTCAGGCAGATAAGGTGGGAGGTTGATCAGCGCTCCTTGTCTGCATGCGTTTTTTTCCCTGGTCGCACTCATCGAAATCTATGAGCAGTCCACCTCAAAGGCAAAGATTTGGTCTATGAAATGATAGCTATGTGCAGTAATCTTTTAATTTCCAGGGGTTTTCCTAGAATTTATTTTGAAAAACTTGCTACTTTACGCGCTTTGGGATTTTTGTACCATTTATAAAAATGAACCTTGGGAATTTTACTCACCCTGTATCCAGGAGGGAGAGGTCGAGGCAGATGTGCTCGCGCCCTTTCGTAGGACGCCGGGAGAAGGACCGGGAGCTGTCACCTGCCCTATCTTTGTGCGAACACGAATGGCTGTGGGTGTGTTCGTCCGCGATGACGGGGATAAGGCGACTGAAGACGGTGAGCGGCTGTGCGGTACAGAAGTGCTGGGATGTTCCTGATGCTGTCGACGCTGGAAATGATTGTATTATTTTTGCTGAACTCATTCG